TCTTCAGCTCATCCTAAGGATGAGCTATCACGGAACCGTGCCCGGGCTTTGTGGAGAAGTGACCTGGGTCAGCTGCAGCAGAGCCGGGGAGGAAAGCAGTGTGGCCCACCCAGGGTCCAGTGCTCAAGCACAATTATTAGCCGGTGTGCATGCAGTTATATCGGTGGACCCTGACTCTCTCCCATGTTCTTGACCATGGCAACACTGCCTAAAGATGGAGTCTTCCACTGGAGAAGGAAAACTTAGCAGAGGATTTTTTTTTCTCTCTGTATTGGCTGGCATGTTTCTAATAAAAGGATTTTTTTCAGAGAATAATTAAACACCTTGCAATTCCATCAAACATTTCAACCCGATGTGCCTTTCCTTCTCTTTGCAGATTTTTTTTCTCCAGTGTATGGACACAGGGTACAGGGCTTTGGTCTCACAGTGAACCCTTTCTGACTAAATTGTGAGTTATGCTTCTGATGTGGCTGAGCAAAGGTTGTAATCAGCATGGTGCTGTAAAACCCAAGAAGCAAAATTAGAGCAGAGTATAGATTTTAAGGAAACGCTAGTTGAAACGTGAACTAGCCTCTAAACAGCCTTCCTTCAAAGCATGGCCCATCATCGTAGTTCTCACAGACTAATGAAGCTCTTACTTGGGGCAGGAAGAACAAAACCTGTTCTCGGTGTTTAGGGCTTTTAAGAGCTGCTTCCAGACTTTCCAAAATGTTTTGAAGTTTTGTGGGTTTTTTCCTTCTTGCAGGAACAGATGTCGTCATTGTTAAAAACGGCAGAAGAATATGTGGCACAGGAGGCTGCTTAGCCAATGCACCTTTGCATCAGAACAAGAGCTATTTTGAGTTTAAAATCCAGTCCACAGGTTAGTCAGCAAAAATGTACAACTTTAAATTTGGAAGGTATGTCAGATTGCCTGCTGGTGGTCATATCTCAAATACTGAGCCCGTGCATCTTTCTAATTGCATCCTTGAACTTGTGAACATTGGAGAGTTTTATAAGTTATCATTGTATAAAAGGATTTTTTTTTTTTTAATTGTGGCTCTGAAATATGGAAAAGAATGGTAAGTATACTACTAAAGGAGTGCAAATACTAAAACACCGTATTGTTTTGTGTGCTGTTGTATGCATGTTTTTCAGTTAGCATAGTTTAGAAATGTTTTTTGGTAAATAAATGCTTATGACCACATAAAACACTGTAGCTATGAAGTATTGTTTTTTTCAAATAGTGCAGTTTATCCAGCAATATTTGTAGCTATTTGTCTACCTTCATTTGCTTTTAACATGCACTGTGTTTGCCCAAGCAAGAGTAACACCCTGTGCTACACTTTGCTCTTCAAATCAGATGTGCAGCACTTATTCTGACACCACTTTATCAAGAGGAGCTTTTCAGCACCCTGTTTTTTTCTTTGTTTTGCACAGATCTGATGCAAGGCAGCTGAAAGTGAATGAAATTTGGAAGCATTATGCTTTTACTAATATGGTCAGCTTTGCTATTACAGAGTGCACTCCAGGCTTGCCTGTATTCTTTCATTAAAAATCAGCCTGTATTTTTAAAAACAACAGACGCTGTGAAAATGAAGCTGTTCTTTC